TTGGGTCTGGATTGCTTTGTGAAAATCTTTAAAGCAAGCAACCTCCTCACTCTTCTGTCTCATCAAGTATATCCAGGTAATTCGAGAAAAGTAGTTAATAAACATGGAAAAGTAACGATAACCATTCGTAGAGCAAGTAGAACAAGGTCCACATACATCAGAATGTATCAAATCAAACACACGAGAGCTCCTCTTCCCAAAACTGACTTAAGAGCTCCTCATGAGCTTGTCAAACTCACAAGCATCATACACCAATTTCACCTTATTTGCTTTTTTCCTACAATGATGGGTACAAAGGACTCACAAGACTAAACTAAGAGTGTGTCATGCGCCTGTGATGTAGCAGCAAGACATCCTCCACACTCACCTCTGATTGCAATAATGTTGGACATGCAATCCGAATGAATCAAAACCCTGTATGTAATATTATTTTCATGATCTTAACTTTTAAAATTAAAAAAAATAAATTAATGTTAAATTTTAGCACATAATTCAGGGGAATGTACTCCATAATAAACCAAAAGGGAAGAACACATTCTCTCTAACCATCCTTAATGGCATAAAATCTCAAGCTTAAATAATTCAAAAATAACTACTATACCTTCATGATGCATAGTCATTATAGTGGTTGAGTGTAGTCTTACATTGTGAGATCACAGATTTGAATCATGCATATTGTCATTTGGGCTCATCTTTTCCGAATAAAGTCTAGTCTTTTGCTAAGTGGTTTGGGCTCCACCGGTGGATCAAGCTTGATATGCTCCCATAAAAAAGAAGAAGAAATTTACATGCATACAACAATTTCTATATATTTCTTTATGTATTGCCTAAAGTCTAATATTTATAATATTTATTGGTTATATTTATAATATTTATTGGCATACTTTTTTGTTCAAAAATGAATATTTTGCTTTAAAAATAAGTTAGAAATTTATTGGCATAATTTTTTGTACAAAAATGAATATTTTGCTTTAAAAATAAGTTAGAAATAATGTTATTTTTTTATGTAATATTAAATAATTGATTTTAATGTATGCAAATATGAAATTTTAGTCAAATATATGAATACATAAAAATTTATGTGCTATGTATGTAAATGCCTATGCTTAAAGAAACACAAATGCAACCAAAGTCAAAATTTTTCTGACATAAAAGGTTGACCAACAGTGATGGAATTATATCAATTCTCAAGAAATGCAAAGAGCTCTCAGCTAGAGAGTTTATAGCTATGCTATGATCAAAGAGATATAGAGCAAGCTTATACAATGTTTCCAGGGTTAATTGTGATAATTGATTTTCATAGATCTTTCCAATTTTACATCCATATAAAAGGTAAAATCCATAAAGAGTAATGTTGTAGTAAAAGATGCTCTCTTAAAAACCAATTTATAAATTTCAAGTTTCAAAGATAACTTGGCTCGGTAGTGAGATCCTGGGTTCAAGGTTTTACATATATAATGTGTGTGCATTTGAGATTAAATTCGGTCAAAATCCCCCAAAAATAAGATGCCTTGATGGGGTCCACAACACAATAAATTTTCCTTTTTCATAAAAAAAAAATTTCTAGAACTAACTGTAAACTCAAAGGTTAAATATATAAAATTAAAGCAAGTCACATACAAATTGAAAATAAATCAAATGTATCAAATTAATTGAGGCTTAATTCAAATGAACAACCTCATAAATTTTGCTCAATTTGTGATTTTAAGTCTCAATTGTTAGCATGTCTTAACTAAAAGGCAAGCCTGATTTAACCTCACTTTCTAGCTCACTATAAAATAAGAGTACTGAAGTCCAACACCTCAATCTAAAGCAAGCAATTAGTATCAAAACATTATGTATGATCAAGCTAAATCAACACACCAAACTTCTCAAAAGCTAAGTCCCAATATCAATATAAGGCCAGGACAGACTTTCTTAAGTCCCAAACACAAGTTATAAACTCTCTCAAGTTTTCCTAAATATAAAGAGATCATAAGTTACATTCTTTCATTAAATCAAATTAAGAACTAAAGTCGATTAAAATGCACACATTATTAATTTAAAAGCCTCAGACCACCTTGCCTTGGTCTTAATTAAATCAAGTTAAGAACAGAGTTTCCAAATCAACAAACCCAAGTCTAAGAATTTGAATTGACAAGAATAAATTGAAATCAAAAAGTGTAGCTCAACAAATGACAAACCCAAGACCTGCTCTATAGTGTATCTTCAAAATACAAATACGGCTTCAAGTCTAACCGACCAAAGTCATAATATCCACAAATTCAAACTAACTAGATTTTTTCAATGAAATCCCAAGAAACACAAGTCTATATATCTACATGTAACGGGAAAACTTTTTTTTTCTCATTTCTCAATTGAAAACATATCTTACATATTTATATACTCTATCTTTATAGATTAAAAATGTTTCTAATATAGAAAAGAAGAAAAAAATAGATCTCCTCTAATTGGATACTTAATACACACACTTCGCAATAGAGATATTAAATTTAATATTTTCCATAACACTCCCCTCAAGCCGGAGTATAGATATTTATCATGTCTGGTTTGTGAGAAATATAAGTGACTAGCTCCATTAAGGGCCTTAGAGAAGATATCCCCTAGTTTTTCCCCAATTTTTACATGAGTGGTAGAAATCATATTTTGTGGAATCTTTTCACGAACAAAATGACAATCTATCTAATGTGCTTAGTTTGTCATGGCAGGCAGAAGCAATATGAAATGCAGTTTAGTTATCACATCACAACTTTACTGGAACAGTCATCTTAAAACTCATTTCGGTCAGGAATTGGGAGACCAACATCAATTCACGAAAAGCTTGTGTCATTGTTCAATACTTAGATTCTGCATTGGATCGTGACACTACATTTTCTTTCTTGTCCTTCCATAAAACCAAATTACTATGAAAAAAAACACAATAACCAATAATAGATCTCCAATCTACAACAGAGAAATATTTAATATTTATGTGCCATTATTCTGATATAGAATCCTTTTTTCCACGAGCTCCTTTAACGTAACATGGTATTTGTTCTATAATTGAGCAATGATGGACTGTAGGGGAAGACATGAATAGATTTATAGTGCTAACTAAACCCGCAATGTCAGGGCGAGTCACTGTGAGGCAGTTTAATTTTCTTATTATTCGGGATCATTAAAAGGCTCTCTATTTTCTCATTCTTGCTAAAAAATCTAAAATATACTTCAATTGAGATAAAAAAGATATCCTTATGGTTCTTTAATGCTTCAATCCCCAAGAAGTACTTCAAGGAACCTAGATCTTTAGTGTTGAACTGTTTTTGAAAAAAATGATTTCAATGATAAGATTTCATGCACATCGCTTCCAGTAATAATAATGTTATCAACATACACCAGCAAGAGAGTGATCCCAGAAGAAGAATGCTAGTAGACTATAGTGTGATCACTTTTACTCTTATGAATACCAAACTATTTAACTGCTTGACTAAATTTTCCACACCATGCCTGAGGGTCTTGCTTCAATCCATATAGTAACTTCCAAAGATGACATACTTTCCAAACTCCCCCTGAGCAACAAACTCAGAAGATTGTTCCATGTATATCTCTTCTAAAAGATCATCATGGAGAAAGACATTCTTCACATCAAATTGATATAGGGGCCAATTATTCATTGCAGTCAAAGACAAAGTGGTGAACCGAAATCAACTTAGCTGCCTAAGAGAACATGCTCAAGCAGTAAATCTCATAAATTTGAGCATAACCTTTACCAACCAACTGAACTTTGAGGCAAGCTACAGATCCATCAGAATGAAACTTAACGACAAAGAACATTTTACAGTCAACAACTTTCTGGCCAGAGAGTAATTCAGCTAGTTCCCAAGCTCCATTTTTAGTTCAAGCATTAATTTCATCAATCATCTCCATTTGTCACCCTGAATGGGATAAGGCTTATTGAACATAAGTCGAGACCTTAACGAAGTCAAGGCAAGCAATAAACAAGCAAGTAGAATATAACTGATCATAGTTAATACAAAAGGAAATGAGATAAGCACATTGTCATTTAGCTCTTCGAAGAGCAATAGACAAATCAATGTCACTGGGAGAATGATCCACTGAAGAAGAGGATATCGGTACCAGACTAAGATCGGGTGGACGAGGTCCTCTCGAGTATAAATTGGTGATATGTGACTTAGGCTGAGGCACTGGTGGTGGCAGTGGAGCTAAATTGATAATGTGATACATTAACAACTCATCAAAATCTTGCGAAAATTTAGGCAACGATGAGTCTCCAAAAAATGAGGTTTGTTCATAAGAGGTGACATCAACAAAGACCATGTACTTGTTTAAGAAAAGATAAAACATTGATACTCGGTTTGTAAATGAGAGTATCTAGAAAAACACACCTTAATGACTTAGGGTCCAATTTAGCAAACTGTAAGCAAGTGTCACGAGCAAAACAAATACAACCAAATATATGTTGGTTCAATGGGAAAGAGAGAATTGGTTGGCAATAAAACTTTGTAGGGATTTAATGAGATGAGTCTTCTAGGAAATACTTCTTAAGTAGTTTCACAATTTTATTCCAATAAAAAAATTTGACATCATTTAACTTTTCATCCATAATTTTAGCCAGAGAAAAAACCAAACTTGTCACGACATGCTTTTGCTCCACAACCATGATTATCGCCAGATATTCAAGGAGATAAATCGATATTTAAAGGAATGAGGCAGAGAGATTAATGAGGGATTCATATGAGAAAAATGAACGATTTAGATGCTCAATACAACCGACACAGACGATGCCAACGAACTTCCAACGACAAAGATAACTCTCTAATACCATATCACGGGAAAACTTTCTTTCTTCTTATTCCTCAATTAAAATCATATGTTACATATTTACATACACTCCTATCTCTAAAGATCATAAATATTTCTAATATAAAAAACATTAATTAGATTTCCTCTAATTTGGCACCTAATATCAAACTTTCTAATATACATATTTTTTAATATAACAACTATTAGATGTAATACACAAACCTTAATTACATCGGCATTGCCATTAAGCCTACAAAACCAGTTCACGAGACAAACAAATCATCAAAAAACAAATCCTTTAGACAGTTTTATACCGTGGATTTTCAAACATGCAACACGTCTACTCTTACAATTTTACCTAACTAGCCATACAATACTTTCTTGCCTAGAATGTCGTGTCAATATTAGTCATAACACTTCTTCATGATAGTCTTCAAGTATTTAGACCGTTTCTTTACCAAATTAATTGCATTTGGGTTCTAACCTAATCTGGTTTTTTGCCCAAATTCAATGTATAGTTCATCCTCCAACATTATGATCAATAGGGTCATGAGCGTATGACCCATTCTCTTCAACTAAAGGAAGATTTACATACATACCCTCAATTCTTATGTGTGTACAGATCTAATACTTAAATTTCAATTTTTACAAACATAACACCTTACCTATGCATGTAGAAATGTATTTCACTTCAAAAGTTGAAATGGTGGTATTTTTGATGTGATAAGAAAGATTTTGGTGGTATAAATATAAAAAACAAGTTTTTAAGTGATAATTATGTAAATACTTAGGAATTGGATAGTATGTATGTAAATGTCCCTTACCTAATGGATTTTGTCTTCTCTTAATTGCACTTGACAATTCGTTCACTCATGATTCATGAATGCCCATTTTGGCACACAAAACTAGAAAACAAATAGAAATCAAAACATGCTCATTTCTAGGTTCTAAGATACTTAATCTATGTAAATTTGACAAAGTTAATATGCAGTGCAGAACTACATGCTGCAAAGTTGAAATAAATTACCCACCATTAACACAAACTATCTGATTTCAGCACAAGAATAATTCACTAAAACTCATAGCCTTCAAAACTTCTCCCTCTTGGAGAGACAAAGCATTTTCTCTAGAACAAGGCAAACAATATAAATCTTTGAGTTATGACAAAATCCCTTTCTACAAAATGTCCTGATTGTTGACCAAAATACAACTAAACTCAAAAACTGTTTTTTTCTAACCATTCCATCAAAAAGATAAATTATTTCCTTATATCTTTCATGATGTAACAGTTTACTAACTAAGCAAACATACACATCTAGAGCAAATTCATCTGTATGAATTTTAAGAAAATAATCAGTTGCCTCCAGATACTTCTTCCATTTGCAAAGACCATGAACCAAAATAGTATGAGTTATCAAATCTGGTGTAATCTTCTCAACATGCATGTTATAAAACATTTGGAAAGCTTCATTCAACCTTCCCAATTGGAAAAACCAATGAATAAGAGTATTGTAAGTCGTAACATCGGCAACGAACCCTCTGTTATCAAAAAGACATTTTGCTTGATTTACTTTACCAACCCTGCAAAGACTGTCAATGACAATATTAAAAGTCTTGGTGTTATGAGATAAACCTTTCTTTAGAATGTCAACCAAAATCTTCAGAACAGTTGACCATCTTCCATCCTTGGATAGTCTGCTCATCAGTGTATTGTAGCCGACAATGCCGGGATGCCATTCCAGTTCAGAGCTCCTATCCAACAAGCATATGGCTTCTGAAAACCTCATCTCATGACAGAGACAATCTAGAAGTATATTCAGAGTCACTTTGCTTGGGAGAATACCATTGTTTAGCATCATCTCCAATTTCTCATAAGCACACTTAACTCTACCATATTTACAAAGACCATCCATGTAAATATTGAAAGTGATCTCATCAGGTTTCCAACACTTTGAGAAACTTTCTCTTATAACCTTCTCAACCTCCTCAAAGATCCCATCTTTGCATAATGCCCCAACGAGTATATTGTAGGTAACAGAAGTCGGTCGATATCCAAGTTTCTCCATTTCTTCTATCAAATGTTTAGCTTCCTCAATCTTTCTGTTAGAGCAATAACCCTGCACTATGGGTGTGTAAGTATAGGCATCAAGATCACATTTTTTCTCCAACATCCAATACAGATAAACTCTGGCCTCCTCAACTCTTCCATCCCTGCAAAGCCCAGTGATCAAGGTGGAATGAGTGGTCAAATCAGGAGAGCATTCATTCTCCATCATCATTGAAATTAGCTTATAGACTGAATCGAAATCCTTCAAACAGAAAGAGTATAACTTGACCAAGATGTTGTAAGAGGAGACATTTGGGGCGACGCTATCAGAAATCATCTCCTTGAACAAAGCTTCAGCTTCGGCGGGTTGGTTTGCCTCCACTAAGGCGTTCATGACAGTGTTGTAGCAGTAGACGTTTGGATTGCAGTTTGATTCTTTCATCTCCCGAGCTAATCTAAGGACCTCGTCTAGCTTTCCCACCTGCGCGAAGGACTTCATCAACCTGTTATAAGCAATGGGGCTATGTTGGATGGGCTTGCAGCCAATATCGGGAGAAGGATAAGTAAATCGAGGCATTGATAGCTTCTCCAGAATGATGGATAATCTGGTGAAGAGATCTGAAGAAGACGAAGCCACTCCCGTAACAACTTCCTCGGAAGAGGTTTTGTTTCGTCCAACATATCTGATTGCATTGAAAGGTGAAATAATGGAGATTGTTCTTGCAGAAATTTGAAACAACGGGGAGTGAAAAGCTAGGGTTTGTGGTCGTGAAGAAAGAAAGGCTGTCCCCGATAGGAAGGCTAGGGTTTGGAACTCTACCATGTGGAAGGAAATAATTGAGCTGCATTGGACGCGCCGCCGTCCGTCGGGAACGGCATCGCCGGGAACCGACGGTGAACCGCCGGCGAAGAAATCTTTGCTTGAGGGTTGCGATCTCAGAGCTCCGGTTGGATTCGGCTTCAAGTAGGATTTAATTGAAATTGAATTTAATTAATTTTGTAAATTTTGATTTATTAACATTAAGAGAAACTATATGTCGAGTAATTTTAAATGTTGAAAAATTATGACATATTATTTTTAAATAATATTTAAGAATATTAATTTTTTAAATAGGCATTAATTAATAAATAATTAGTAATTTCTTAATAACTATTTAATTGTAAGTAATTTGTCTAACAAAAATATTAATTATTGATTTATTAATCTTCATACTAATATTATCAAAATTAAATTTCCCAATTTTTGCAATTCAAATTATTTTGTACCGTTTGAAATAATTCTCTAAATTGTCAATTAACTTGTAATTATTTATTTCTAAGCTTTTAGTTCTTTGAAAATTTATATTTATACAAGAATTCTTATTTATTTTACATATGTGACATAAAAAATTTGATATTTATATTTATTGTGTGTTAGTAGATTTGTGGTGCTAGAATAATATTAAGTAATAATAGCATTTTAAGATTAGACAAGGATCCAAAACACACATAAAAATAATAAGGAGAGACACCGCGATTTTTACGTGAAAAACCTTCGAGGGTGAAAAAAGCATGGGATTTACTCCACTTAAAATAATACATTATGTAATTGTGATTATATGGGTTCACTCTTCCCCTGAATTAGAAAATATTGAATTGAAAAAGTAGGCTACAACAAATGTAGTTCTTAGTAGTTATATTAGCTTTAGTTTGTCATAGAGGTCGTTGTTGAAAGTCGTAGTAGTAGTTGGGCATATAGGCCATTCTTGATAGCTTCTTGAGCGTCGGTTGGTCATAAAGATATTAGTAAAGAGTAGTAATAAAGTTTATTGGTCACATAGTCCGTTGGTGATCCAGAATTAGTAATCGATGTTGAGTATTTAAATTTTTTCTTGGAATGATCTTTTAATATTTACACTCTCGATGATCACTTTTACTCATAAGAAAATAATCAATTTGCTCCATCATTGTTAATTAAAATTATAATTACAAAAAGGTACATGAACTTGCTCCATTTATCATAGCAAAGCCCAAATTTTATCCAAATCAATATTAGTGCGCACATATATAAAATGATTGGCATTTGAATTATGATAGTTGAATTCAAATGTCTCCATAAATCTCACACAAGTAATAGAGCATACTCATGAAGGAAAAAAATGTTCCTTTTTACATTCACTCTTACACCTTTATATAGAGAAACTTTATAATAAAATATACATAAATAATAAATATAGTAGAATATAATGTGACATGGGCAACATATCTATCTTTTGTGCACTTCTTCTCATCATATTTTTCTTGGGCCGACTACTGAGTGTCGGCTGAAGAGAGTCAAGCGGAGTGGGTCGAGGTTAGAGGACCTACCAAAGAGGGTCGGCCGGAGAGGGTCAAATGACGAGAGGCTGAGTTCAACAAGTTCTCTTCGGCTGAAGAGAGTCAAGCGGAGTGGGTCGAGTGAAGAGGACCTGCCAAAGAGGGTCGGCCGGAGAGTGTCAAATGACGAGAGGCTGAGTTCAACAAGTTCTCTCGACAATAGCAATGCTTTAAACTACGAAAAAGAATTTTAATCATACAATAATAATAATTGAAGTTAAATATATAAGAATAAAAAGTAATCAAGACAAATATAATTTACGTGAAGTATAATTTTATTTGAATTGCATTTTCTATCCCACTTTACTTAAACATTAAAGAGATGGTCAACAGAGTGCTCCTCCCAAAATATTTTTATATTTAAACCCTTAAAATACCTTTTTTTTTATTTTCATGACATAGAAACTTAACTACTATGACATAAAAAAACCTGCCTAATTACCTATTAATAAAAAATATTAAAATTAAAATTTTGTCTTTAAATAAATCAACCTAATATTTCATTTAAAAATCATAAGTGGAGGCCTCACCCTAAAGTTATTGGTGACTTTAAAGTCCTACTTTTAGGCCATAATTGAATTCTTTTTTATATGTTAATATTTGTATCTGGTGCACAATTGGAAAGGTTGACAACAAAATTCCCTATAGTTGGCAGAAATATCTTCATTTATAATAAAATTTAATCAAAATTATTTATTATTTTGAAAGTAATTATAATATAAATAAATAAAATTATATTATACTCATTTATATAAATTGTGGTTCACCCTAAAGTGGTAGGCGACTTTGATGTCCTACATTTAGCATATAATTTTTATATTTTTTAATATGTTAATTTTTTTGTCAGATGAAAGGCACGGTCGGAAATCTCAGTCTTAACATTTTAATAAAAAAAAAATAATTAAATGAATTTTAAAAATACTTTAATTTTTATTGAAAGTAATTAAATGTTGGATTAGATTTCTAAAGCTTGCGCTCATCTCTATCTTTTGTAGGGTGTCAGGCTATAATGACTTAAATATTGAGCGTCCTATAATTTGATGTAGGCATATGTTATTTTCTTATTAGTAGCGGATACTCTACAGGTGGTACACGACATCAGACACTCGGCAAATGAGTTTGGCAAGTCAACCTAGCAGCTAGTACATGTCAGTTAGTATTCGACAGGTGAGTTCAGGATGTCAACCCAATTGATCAACCAGGCGACTAGTATTCGGCAGGTGAGTTTGGCAGGTCGGTCAACACAATAACTATGTTTTTTAAATAAATTTCTTAGACCAGTTAAGCATGCTAATATTTTCTCGGGCATGACGATCATTCATTTACATACATATATCCTAACATTCCTTTTAAAAATCATAAATGAAGGCTTCATCTAAAGTGGGTGGTTACATTGGTGCCCACTATGAGCATATTATTGATATATCTTTTTATATAATAATATTTGTGTCAAGTAAAGAGTGCACAATGAGCAATTGCCTCAGTTCACCATCAGCTTTGCAATGACTCTAACCTATAACTGATTTGGTACAGTTTTTTAGTCAAAATATTCTGATTTTTTAAAGTTAATCATGATGAATCTAAGAATCTATTACTTTTATTTTGGTATAAATGTAATATATGAGTTAATATGACTAAAAGGAGGCATTTATATGCATATATTTTCTTTTTTACATTTATATCAAAAGAGAAAGCAATTCTAACCTTAAAATTTGTTTATTTTTATTAGTTTGACATTCATAATAAGGTTTCATAAGACTCACTTAATTTAGCTAACGAGGTGAGCTCGAGTTAAACGAACCAAACACAAATCTACTAAAAATATTCGATCGAGTCGAGTTTCAGCATGAGCCCGAACACAATTTTGTCAAAAAAACTCGAGCTTGAGCAAGCTGACCAGGCATTTCTACTCGGCTAGATTCATTTGATGCCTCAAAGTCAAATGCATTTCATAAAAGGAATGTTTACATGCATACCACTAATCAATTCATTTGTATTTACAAATCGAGTATAAAAAAATTAATTATTACATACTATTGAATTTTGATTTGTCCGTGAAATCACACCTCAAGGAATAGAGCCCAAGAAATGTGAGAAAGAGAGAAAGATGAGTGAACACGATACTAAGTATTTTATATCCTCATTTTCTCATAAAATGATCTCTCTATTTATCGGGGAGATGATACAATATAACTATATTTCATTCAGCCCCTACATTAATAGTGATTGTATAGGATATTCTAGGTACTAAACATATATGAGCTTATCACTAGGCTACCCTATGGTTTGGTCGGTTGAGCTTGTATGACTTCGACTCGTTAATGTTGGTTTGGTCAACTTGGCTGAGCGATATCTTCGATCGCTAAATTTGATGAACTTCGGATCGGCAAGACTAATTTGATCGACTAATCTTTGTCAATCTGTTAATTGGGTGTGATTGTCAACTGTTGATCCCTAGAAGAGGAGCTTCTATCGGCGAAGCGAGACTAAATACCATAGGTAGCTCGTTCCTAAATGAGGAAAGCCTATAAGATGCTTATAAGATTTTAATGTATTGTCAATTTTTGATCCCTTGTGAGAAGCCTCGGGGGAGTTTGTGGGATGGTTGGTGATATTAAAGAGGAGTTGTGTTTTTTCTTGGGTCAGATCTATTAGAAGGTATGTTATTGTCTTCAGTCGGCTTTCTTGTAGTGTTGGTTTTGATACTCATCCATCTTCTTTTAATATGATTGGTCGCCATTTTGTCCTTCTTCTGACTCGATTGATCTTCGGCTTTGACTCAGACGATTACACACGGCCAGCTTTTAGTCTTGACTCAGTTGGCTGTACTAGGTCAGATAAGTGGGTCTTAGACTTCTATCACTGGGCCTACCTTTGTTGCCCTCTCTTCTTTCCGGGCCGTTTGATTTCCACACAATGCACTTGCACATTCCGATGTACCGGTACAAATCGCCGTATTTATGCAAGAAGAGATGCACTTCATGTTTATGAAGTTAAAATGATGATATATTTTGATATGATGTCAGATATGTAAATACACAAGAATTGAGTGGGGGCAAGTTTGTAAATCATTCTTCGTGGTGGAAACAAAGAACACTGGTCCTCCCCCATTAACTATTCATGGCTTAGCTTCCTCCATGCGTGTCTTTAATAAGAAGAAGGGATGGCCAACTACTCTATCTGTTTCTCTCCATGTATTCATTAATGGCGGACAGGGGACCAGCAACAGAGATCAGAAGGGCTGCTCAGTTCTTCTTTTTCATGAAGGAGGATCTCGTCCTTGTAGTTAGAATCATGAAGCAGACTGAATAATTTCAGAACCCAAGTTATTTTAGTAACAGCGCCCAGCTTTTCCATATGAGAAATCATGAAGCAGAATAAATAGAAACTGGGGAGAGGAGAGAGAGAGAGAGGAGTGAATGCGGAGAGCATTTAATCAAGCAATGAGTCATTTTCCTAGTATGGCATGTCAGCATTTTCTCCTGAGTATGGTTTGCTTTCTTCAAAGAGGAGGATGTTTAGAAAAGGAGTATGTTTAGGCACATGTTTGTGTCTAATGTTGTGATATGAGTAACCAAATGAGATAATGTTATTATGTGAAATTTGGTTATCTAT